AGATTGCGTTTTTACAAATAATTAAAAAATGTCTTTCTTAATTTTACAAAATAATTATCATCAATATCAATCAAATCATTATTATCTTGTGATATTGAAGGTTAAGCTTTATTTTCGTTTATTTTCCAATTTTTTACTTTACTTACTAAGAGCTAAAAGATTTAGCTATCAAATATTTTGTTTTGTACCATTGTATGTTTTGTACCTAATAATTTCGTAAATCTGAATAAATCTACATAGCCAAAAACTGGCTACAGTGGCAACACTGTGAATAAGTGTAACTTCGCGAGATTCGCTCTGGGCCTTTTGGAAAGAAAAGTGTCGTTTTTATTTTGACTTTTAATTATTTTGGGAAATCTAGTTTAACGTGGAATAGGATAGTGCTATTGTGCCTTAATCGAAGATTAAAACGCGAAATTATACGAATCTGAAACTAAAGTACCCGTATCGGCCCGTTCTAAGGAATCTCGAGTCAATCCAAGCACGCCGCCTCAAATTGCCTATTCTCTTTGTGGTGACCATATTTACAGAAATATAATTAAACGTTATGTTTTCGGCTGAAGGACTTTGTTTCCATGGCCAGAAATAATTTATAAAAAAAAAGTGTAACTTCGCCATGGACGTACTAAACAATATGGACACGAAATACCTACAAAAAAATCGTGCCACAGCTGTGCGCTAAAAATGGCTGCCTTTGCCTAGGGTTGTCAACTCCACAGTATTCTCCAGTTTTATTTTAGGTACCTAATATGTCATGATAAAATAGGTTGTTATTGACAATGAAAGTACTAAATAGTAGTATTTTTTATTACATACTTATATTGAGACCAGTAGGTATTAAAGCATTTCATCAGCTTATTACCTACATAAACTGCTTAAGCGACTAATGCAACAATTTAAGTAGCTCAGATCAAGAGTAGTTCTTGATCCAAATTAAATAGGTACTACTACCTACTATATCAAGATATAGCTGTTGCCCACGGCTTCGCTCGCATTATTCCAAGATAAAAAGTAAGGTCACCCGGGGCTATTGTAGCCAGGGGGCAAAAGTAGCTGATTAAAATGACTTGTTAGTTTTAAGTTTTTAGAATTAGTGACATCTGTGGCTGTGAAGAGAAATTTTAGTTGACCTATATAGCCAAAGATGGCGTTACTAACATTTAAACTATTTTATTAACGGAGCGTCTTTTTATTCCGCCATTTTGAGGTGAATGTCAGTGTCAAACGACCGGATTGAAAATATTCGAAAAAATATTGTTTTTGTGGAAATCGAAGTGAAGTGTGAAGCGAATCGTGAAACTATAAAAGGTAATTCGTTTTGTATTCATTTGTTTTATCCTATACTTAACTAAAATAATGTTCTCAGCACCAGCTACGTTCGCCCCATGAAAAATTGTAGGTGGTCTAATTGTAGCTACTTTGGAAGCTACATTTGCCCCCTTACTTTTATATGAACATATAAAATACTAGTGATGTCAACGGGTCGATTCAAATACTACAAAATATCGACCAACTTTTAATATATTTTATGAAGGGCGACTGATAATTAATTGCCGATACGTGATAAAATAAACATGTTTTTATGTGAAAAAATATTTGTTTCTCTTGTAAGAAAGCTGTCCTATTTCCAAATGACAAAGGATACTTCTTAGGACAGGGCGGGTAATTTCTAGTATAAAATAATTATAGGGTAGTTATGAAATTATTTTATTGGATTTTTTAACAAAAATATATAAATATTTTTATTTCAGATGGTTCGTCACTACAAACGCAAACGTGAAACTCCTTATTCAAGGGAAAATCTTTTGAAAGCAGTAGAGGAAGTGAAATTTAAGAGAATGAGTAGTTATCAGGCTGCAGAACAATTTGGTGTTCCCAGAGCCACGATTTATGCACATGTATCTGGGACGCGTGGTTTAAATAAACCTGGCAGGTCCACGGTGTTTGATAAGGATACGGAACTGAGAATTGTGAACTGTATTCTCGTAATGGAGAAGTGTGGTTTTCCTTTGACTCGTAAGGAGGTCATATCATTGATTAGCGAATTTATAAGAAGAAACGGCATCGTGACCGCATTTAAAAATGACATACCAGGTGATGACTGGTTCCGAAATTTTAGAAGAAGACACAATCTTTCATTAAAAAAACCGCAATCGGTGGAAATCGCCAGAAAAAAGGCGTGCAATCCCTTCACAGTATACGAATATTTTGAATTACTTGAAAAAGCCATTCGGGATTTGGATTTATCGTCCGCACCCGACCGTATTTACAATCTCGACGAAACTAGTTTCTGTCAGGATCCGTCAAAAAGTAAAGTGGTCGGAAAAGTTGGTCATCGTTGTACAAGAACAACTAGTTCACCAGGCAGAACCAATACCTCCGTTCTTCTTGCAGCAAATGCAAATGGTGATAAAATTCCGCCTCTCATTATTTTCCAAGGAAAATATTTATGGAACGAGTGGATGTATAAAAACGAGAAAGTGAAAACGGCATATGCCGTAAGCAAAAAAGGTTGGATGGAGACTAGCATCTTTGAGAAATATTTAAAAGATGTCTTTGTACCAGCAATAGGGAGCAAAAGACCTGTTCTTCTCATATACGATGGACATTCGACTCATACAGATTTGAGCGTAATTGAGTATGCAATATCTGAAGGAATTACAATCCTTAAACTGCCACCCCATTCCTCAGACGTGTTGCAGCCTTTGGACTGCAGCGTAATGAAGCCAATGAAGGACAGGTGGGACCAAGAACTCATAAAATGGCAAAGAATGCATGTTGGCTTCAAATTGCCCAAAAGCGAATTTGCTAGAATTCTTACTGGCATTTGGGAGAATCTGAATCCAGTAATTATTTCAAATGGATTTAAAAAGACTGGCATATATCCAGTTAATCGAAATATGATTGGAAAAGAAAACTTTGATTCCCTTTCATGGCAAAGGTGGGAGACTCATATACAGTCGCAGCTTAAAACTATATGTACTGAAAATAAAACAGTAAATGATGCTGATACTATGGAATACAATGACTTCAAATCAATGATAAAAGATACAGACCTGGAAAATTCCATATTCAACACTATTCAAGAAATTCCTAGTCTTAGGGATTTGGCACTCAAAATTTCCAGCCAAAGTATCAATCAGTGTCAGAAAGATAACCATGACAATTCTAACAAAAGGGATGAACATGCTACTGGTATTGATAGTAACTTAAGTATGAACGGAAAAGAAAATGAGCAACAAGAGAAACATCTAATACTAGACAACCAGAAAGCTATTGCTAATAAAGAGCTAGCTGTTAAAATATATTGTTTAATTAGCAATAGTTTTCTGTTCTTAGGTTTTCGCTATTGTTACACATAGGAAATGAAACTATTTTACGCGATTTAGATCCGAAAAATATTTTCATTTCCTAATAGTTTTCTGGTTTGGTGTGTTTTTTTCTTTCTTTCTCATATATAACTAGTTATACTTATATGAGAAAGAAAAAAAACGGAAAACAGAAGTGACATAGAAAAAAACTATTTCGAAGATATAGTCAGAACACTGGAAGATCCTAATATGACGATAAATATTTTTGAACAAAAGCAGAAGGATACTAATGATAATAAAGGTAGACAAGGTGAATGGAAAAAAATATTGAATCCTAGAACATTTATACTTCCTCTGACATCTCAAAATAATAGTAGTAACAGCGGTATCAAAATATTAAACGACGAAGTGATAAAACCAACACATCACCAAAAAGAACAGAACTATGATGAGGTTGACACAACATTTGAGCAATTAGTACTTAGTCACATTTCAAAAAACGATTTACCAAAAAGACCAAAAAAACGTGTAGGTGCCGAAATATTGACATATTCTGCAGTAGTAGCTCGCATGAAAAATGAAAGAGAAAAGCAGGAGACGCTAAAAATAATGAAAGAAAAGAAGAAGTATGAAAATTTTAAAAATAAACTCCAACAAGAAAAAAGGAAAATAAATAAAGAAAATGCAACTAAAAGTAAAAGTTTGAAAAGGAAGCAAAAGCAAACTAAATTAAAGAAAACGAAGAAATGGATTTCTGACAGTGAGGACACTGGGTCTTATGAGTCAATGGATACTTCAGAAACTGAAGACTTGGACACTTTTATGGAAACTATTTTAAAAGATGAAGAGCTATACAAGGATGAGTGTGAATTCTATAAAACGAAGGAAAAGTCGAAACAAAATGAAAAACCAAGGGAAATAAATAAAGAAAAGAAAAAACAAGAGGAGAAAGAAAAAAAGAATGAGTATAAATATAATGAAAACAAGGAAAGTCCAAAACCAGGGCCAAGCAAAACAAATGTAGAAAAAACAATTAAACATGAAATTCCAGAAGAAGGCTCATTTGTGTTAGCAAGGTTTACGTCTTATAAAGGCAAAAGAGAATATAAATATGTATGCATGATAGAAGAAATAACTTGTGACAAATTGGTGGTTCAAGGATTTAAATCTATCAAGAGCAGTAAAAGTAAATTTCGCTTAATCGAGAATGATATATCTATTATAGATCATGATGACGTAATCGAGTGTTTGCCAGTACCTATATTTGATGACAAGGATATGGTTTACATTTTTTCTAGAAATGTAAATATCGCAGAAAAGTAAATTTATTTGCCGTCTGTTTTTTTTTGTCGTAGTAAATTTTGTAAGTTTTATCCGTTTTTAATTTGATTTAAAAATAAATAATAAGTAAGTACTAATTCATTATTTCATTTGAGAAAAGTCTCTTCATTTGGCAAATACATTCATAAACATTGCACCTTTTGATGAACGCACTTTTGAAAACTAATTTTTAACCTTCTGTGCTATCAATAAATCAAGGACTGATTTAATCAAACGTAAAACTAATTATTTTGACATTTAAAAAAGAGAACCACTGAAGAGACATTTTTTGTGAAATTAAGTTATATATATCGTTGAAATCAGAAAAACACAAGGATTTCATCAATCAACGAAATATGCAACTTAATTTCACATAAATAATATTCATCGGTGGTTATTCCATACCACTGATTGTATTAATAACTCATTACAAATATTAATTTCAAATAAACTCAAGTTTCTTGTCCTACCTTTTAAATGATATATCCATAAGTAGTCCTTTGTGTCTGTTAGCAAATAAGGTTAGACCAAGTTTACACGCTGAGTGTAGTAGACCTACATTACGCCTCCTCAAATCGAGTACTTTCCAATTGTATTGAAAAGGACGAGGTGCTAGTAATTAATTGTGTGTATTTTTCTACGATTTGCAAAGAAATTTCCGGTCGCCCCAATTGTGAGCCACCTAAAATAGCCGAAGTTACATGTTGTATTTTTTATATAATAAATCAATGACCGAGCAAGTCAAAGGAAAAAAACAGTCACCCAAAGTTATCGAGACACGTGTCCCAACACTAACTTATATGGAATATAGCTACATTTACCCCCTGATAATACCTCACGTTATTTTAAAGGAAATTAAACCGTGTTACAGAGGTTTAAATTACAAAATTAGTTTAAACCTATAGGCAGGCTTATTACCGAACTTTAGCAACTGGTTGCTAATTGTACAATAGCAACGCGATTGCTACCAGTTGCGATTGCTAAGTTGGTATTACGGATGTAAATCGCAAACTGATCGCTCGCTTGGTGCATTTGCGACTAAATTGTATGGAAACTAGCGCTACTCGCAACTGAACGGCAATCAATGACAAACACAAACGTCAAAAAACAACAAGGAAGAATTATATTTACGTTTTCTTAATCTTAAATTGATCTATAACAACAAAAATATTCTTATATTATATTATATTCTTAGATTGCACATACAGAAATATGCAGACAATGTATTTGAAGTGTTTCAAACAAGAAATTTGTTGTTTCGTGTTTTTTGTTTACCCAAGAAAGTTTGAATTGCAGTGACGATTCACTAACACTTGAAAGTTAAGTGTTCGACAAAAAGTATAAATCACTATAATAAAAATGCCAACTATGTCTATATTATTGAGTTCTGCTTCTATGGATTCATTTCGTTCATATTACCACTGTTTTGGTGTCGTGATATTCAGACTGTGTGAAGATGGAAAGTCGCGTCTCAAACGATCAGCTAGAAATGTTATTTGACCATCTTCTAAGACACCCAGCATTGGATAAAGGCTTTAGTCTATGTGGAAGTTCACAAGAGACATCTGAAAGGCCGTGGTACGAATTAGCCACCAAATAAATGTTCTTGGCAGTGGAACAAATAAAAGTAATGCACAATGGACACTTAGAGTGAAGAAAATTTAAGTAATTGAAATAATTACAAATGTATCTAAAACCAATGCCAAAGCTGCAATGTTTCAAGCTGAGGCCGCTCAAATACAGTCCAGGCCCTAGTGGATATTGTACAATTACTCAAAAAATAATTAAGACAAACTAGTGGTTAATTGTTATTATTCTTAGTATCATTTCATTGTGTTATTGTAGGAAAATTTTAATTAGGTATGAATAAAAAGTGGCAATCAATAAACACCTTTTAATTTTCAACTTGCATTGTAAAATTACATAAATTAACATTTTGTACAATTGCTTACAGTCATCTCCTACCATCCCATCTGTCAACATTTTGCACTGGTCTTATGAGTGAAGGACCAATTGGAAGTTTTATGAAAGTAAACAATTCAATTTAAGGCTTTTATTTCATACATTCATTCATAAGGGTTAGTAACAGAACACTTTAAAATAGAGTTATAGTCGTCACAAAATAATAGATCATATTTGACAGCTAAACCAGTCGATAGTATGTAACTTTGAATGCAATCAACGAAACAGTAAATAAGCAATTAATAACTTATTGGGTTTTAAAAAAATACATAAATTTTATTGAAGGTCTATACGTTATGAAAGAAACATATTTCAAGTATTATTTTCGCAGGAATTCCAAAATAAAATCCAATTTTGAGTTACTCCGAAACGTCTTATAAACAGTTACATCTTCAGTCTAATTCTTTTTAATAATAGTGTTGTAACCAATAAGCGCCGACTATCATCGAGTCAAATCGGTTTCACTTTAAAAAAAATGACTTATTTAATTACTAAAGTCGTCACAAAATAATAGATCATATTTGACAGCTAAACCAGTCGATAGTATGTAACGTTGAATGCAATCAACGAAACAGTAAATAAGCAATTAATAACTTATTGGGTTTTAAAAAAATACATAAATTTTATTGAAGGTCTATACATTATGAAAGAAACATATTTCAAGTATTATTTTCGCAGGAATTCCAAAATAAAATCCAATTTTGGGTTACTCCGAAACGTCTTATAAACAGTTACATCTTCAGTCTACAAAGAAATAATTCTTTTTAATAATAATGTTGTAACCAATACGCGCCGACTATCATCGAGTCAAATCGGTTTCACTTAAAAAAATGACTTATTTAATTACAAAAACAAAAATTTTAAAGTGCTTACAAAATTAGACTGAGTATACTAGTATTTATAGTAGACAGAACCGTAAAGTCAGATTTGTATTTCCTTTTCTTTATCGCAAATTCTGAAACGGCAACACTGATGTCGATTTAGCGTCACTCTGCATCGGCGCCCGCGCAGTCTTTCGCCGTCTTGGAAGTTGACTGTACGCTTGGTTATTCGTGGTGTTTTTTCTTGTGACTCGGCTGTGCTTTTGGACTACTTCTATTTTCAATCTCGTTGACCTTGGCTTGGATATTTTGGACTTGATTCTGTGTGAACTCTTTTTCAACATGTCGAAAAGAGGACGTGCTTTAAATAGCCAGACTCGCGAACTGGTTGTGAAATTACACGACTATTTCGAAAGGGAGTCACTTAATGGTGGACCTCTATTACCAGTGACACAAGTGCAAAATCGCGTCGCAAGTGCACTTGGAATCGGCAAAAGAACGGTACACACCATCATACAAGAAAAATATGGGCCTTCCGGCTCTCAAGAAAACGTATTACATACGCCTAGAAAGAGGAAGAAAAGCAAGCCTGTAACAGGTATCGACACGTTCGATGCAGACGCTATTCGTAACCATGTTTATACATATTATACTAGACACGAGTACCCTACTGTGAGTAAATTGTTGGTATCACTTCGAGAGCTTGGCTTATTTACTGGGAGTGCTACCTCACTGATTACAATTTTGAAAAAAATTGGTTTTAAATACAAGAAGTCTGACAAAAGAAATATTATGATGGAAAGACATGATTTAATATTACAAAGAGTTTCATTTTTGAGAGAAATGAATAAAATTACAAATTGGGATAATGTTGTGTTTATCGATGAGACTTGGTTGAACTCAAACCACACAGTACCACAATCATGGACCGACGACACTAAAGCATCCAGCTCGAAAGTGCCAATGGGAAAAGGTGGTCGCCTCATAATTTGCCATGCTGGATCAGCCGGGGGAGGTTTCGTTAATAATGCTTTACTAGCATTTGAATCAAAAAGTACAAAAGAATATCACGAAGAAATGGACGCAAACAAATTTAAAGAGTGGTTTAAAACTTTACTTCAGAACCTCCCCGAACAATGTACAATAATTATGGACAATGCATCGTATCATTCGGTTCAAATAGATCGAGCGCCGACTCAGGCAAATAAAAAGGCTGATTTGGTGGCATGGCTACAGAGGAATGGTGTCGAAGCTGACATGGAGCTATTGAAAGTGGAATTGTTAAGATTAGTGCGAGAGCATAGACCTACAAAACTTAGGTATGAAATTGATGAATTGGCACTTGAGCATGGACATAAAATTATAAGGACACCGCCGTACCACTGTCAATACAATGCTATTGAGTTGATTTGGGCTCAAATTAAAGGTTAATATTTTTGCATTTAATACTGTTATTTTAAATTCGTATATATTAAGACTTATTTTGTACTAGTAGCATATTTTAATAAAGTACAAATGTAAAGAGGTAACATATAAACTTTCGAATTTGTAATATCACTGTGAAGGAACATTACTATTTTACAACAGTGTTTTTTTTTTACAGGCTACGCAGGACGTAATAATACTAAGCCACCGTTCTCCACAAAAAAAATGATGACTTTATTAAAGGAAGCATGTACTAAAGTAACAAAGGAAGACTGGAGAAAGGTGGTGGAAAAAACTAGAAAACTAATAAAAGAAGATTTTGACAGAGATGTTAATATTGATAATTTAATTGAAAACGAGTTAATTATATGGACTGGTGAAACTAGCTCAACAGATGGTTTTGGTTCATCTTCCGATGACGTTGATAAATAAAAAATTCCAATAAGGAGGTCTTTTGTTTTACTTCAGAATTTTGTTATTTACGTACAGGTTATCCTCGTGAACTATGCTATTAATGTATAACTACAATACAACAACAAGTACAGGTTGCCGTTGTGCTCACTTAAAATACTTACTTATTATTTCTATTAAACTGTATAACGTTTAAATAAATGTTGATTGATATATCTAGAACTGAAAAGCAATGAACAGAAAAATAACCTAAACGATTACAAACTCCTAAAATTTTTAATCGATTTCTCGTGAGAATCGTTTAAACTGGTTACCGATATTGCAGTTCACATCACTATTTACGTTGCGATGACATGTGTCAAATATGATCTATTATTTTGTGACGACTATAGTATAACAAACAATTCTTTTTCCTCACAATGATATGCATTCAAGTCCAGTGCTCATGAGCCTACCCCTGTACCCTGAATGCAATAACACTTGGGAGGCCATTACTGCTGCCACAAATTCAGCACATCAAGGAAGCAAATGTTTTTTGCAATAGTAATAATAGCTGCAAAGCCATGAGAGTTAGCAAACATTCCAGATGCACTGTACAAACGTGGCAGTTGCAACAGAATCCTTAATATATTATTATACATAACTCAAGACGCTCAGAGGTTATGGATTTAGTTGACCCATAGGCCGCATGAATCTTTAGCTCTTAATAATACAAGAAAATACTTTACTAACTACTTACTGTCTAGTGCTTTTAACGAACAAGTCAAATTTTGATATTATATGGAACAAGAAGAACACTGTCTAACTATCTAGTAATACAATATAAAATTGTGTGCATAGTGCTGTGTACATATACATACATAATTTTTCTGAGGACCAATGGCTTAACATTCTTATCTACTTCTCCATAACCTCAGTATTATTATTGCCTTTTGACTGTGGCCTCTTTCTAACTCGAACTGGGATGATTCAGAGCTGTTATTGCAGGAATTTGCCTCGTAGAATCTTTGGTAGACTCTTCTTGGTGTAAGTGTAGCTCCATTGACAATGTTATGTGATACCGAGCAGGCTTTCATAATTTTTGTAACAGTGCTATCATGATAATGCGAAACTCTGTGAAAGCAAAAATCTTCACATCGCTTTCAATTCCCCAATGCCCCGTTCAATGGTGTTTCTGGCTCTACAGTGAAAATCAATATAATATTCTTCTGCACTGTCAGGAACAGCGTTTGAGACTGGTGTTAATAGCCACAAACATAATGGATATTGCGAGTCCCCTGCAACATAAAGTAAAAATTTCATCATGTACTACACACTGCCACACAGTAATTGTAATTGTTAAGGTTGTTAATTGTTGTAATTTTTATGTCGCATAACTTATTCAAATGTTTAATATTTTGTGTGGTGAATAAATTGTTTAAATGTATTTTTGTAAATCTTTTATCAGGAACACTATTACTTTTAGAGCATTTAAAGTGAAGTTTAACTTGGTTTCGTCAAAAATAAGTTAACTAACGTAACTTTACTTCTATTTTTCGTAATTTCGTCACGTTCTCCTAAGATTACTTACCTTACTTTCCACGGAAATTTTATTTGTCCTTTGTCGACGAGACAAGAGAGGAGTCAATTCATGGCCTTTTGAACAATGCCTTGGATAACCTATGAGACCTGAACTTGGAAGTCCGAAATCTCAAAGGCCCTGCCGATGGCATTATTTCGGATTCTCCACCGAAGAATGGTAGCGTTCCTCCATGTAACACTCTCTTTTCCATTTAAATAGTCCAATAAAATGAGAACTCGCACCATCGCAGTTATACACACGCTACAAGCAGAAGATCACTGAATATTAACAACATTTCACTGAACAATCAATAAATAACTATTTTTAAGTCAAATCAGTTGTTACTTACGATTAAGGAGATGAAATAACAATGTAATTTGAAAAAGCAATCAATCAACAATTACCAAACAACCACTGTGGCACTAGTTGTCAAAAGTCCGTCGCTAATTGCTCTTGCGTCACTGTAAATGTCGTTCGGTAATACGAAAAAGCAACCGGTCGCTTTCTGTCAAAGCATTTTCATGCAGTTTTAGTTTATTAGTTGCTCGCTAGAGGCGCTGTAGTCGACTGATCGCAATTGTTTACGAATTTATGTTTTAACAGCGATAATCGTGCAACTATTGCTAAAACGACTGGTCGCTAAAGATCGGTAATAAGCCTGCGGATATGATGTTCACCATTAGTTATAGAAATTCAAGTTCAACAATAAAAGTTTTATGGATGGATAGCTACATTTACCCCGTTTGGGGGCAAATGTGAATATTGACGGCTTGAAGATGGATTTTGTTGAATTGGATATTCATTTATTGACATTTCATCAATTTAAACTCGATTACATGATTATTAAAACATATCTAAGCAACAAAAAATATCAAATTTGCCGTAAAGTAACTGTTAGTAACAAAATAAAATAAATTAAGTTTGAACTCAAATTTTAGTAGCTACAAAAGCCCCGGGTGACCTTATCTTATAATATAATTATTATAGGAAGTCGGATGTCAAGCTACA